TTAAAACCAGAGAGGGAGAGAAAAGGCCTGAGACAAGGACAATGCTGTGACCCCTTTCCATGTAAGCAAGTCACTCCTCAGGACTGGTGGGGACTGTGTGTGAGCACCAGCTGGTGAAGTGCTAACAGCTCTGACCTCAGCTCCTGCAATTGTGAGCAGCTCAATTCAGAGCTCAAAATGTGTGGAAGCCCTCAGAGTCACCAGAACACAAGTGACCTGCAGGGGCAAGGGCTGATAGCTAAACAATGCTCCCTGCCTCTGCTATTCTGCATCTGTCACTAATACAGCACACCATTGCACCATTGGGAGGGTGTGGAAAATGAAAATAGGGATGGTGATTGAACCTTGGGACAACCTTCACTTTTAGGACACGTGAATGCAGAATTCAACTTAAAATAAAGCTTTTCTAAAAACCACATGACACAGAACTGATGAGTGATTCAGTCAAGAAACCATATGTGATGCATTAAAACCACAAGCAAGAAGAGAAAGGCAATTTAAAAAGAAATTATTCTAATCTGAAAGAAAAAAGGAAAATAGGACGTGTGTGTTAACACAGTCTGATGGCCTCACCCGCTAAAAAGCCCCAGAGATTCCGTGTGCTGGAGGTATTAGATAACATCAGCTGCTCACAGTGTTGTCCCTGGCTTTAAGAGCATCACAGGGAGAAAAAACCCGAGCTCCCCAAATGGGATTTCACTGCCTTAAAGCACTCATCTCTCCTCACATCACCTGGCTGGCTCTCAGCACACCTTCCAGGAGCAAACGCACCAGGGGTCAGACAGGAACAATTGTCCTCTTCCCCTGACTCATTCCTTTAACACAGCTCATTCTGGCCACAGCAGAAAGCAGCAGGATGTGACTGTGTGCCTTAAAAGCTGAAATCTTTGCTGTATGGAAGCACAGGAGAATTTTAGCTGTGATTTCAGCAGGGACAAGGTTTCATCTGGATTTTCCCCCGTGCTTGCACAGGCTGTGCTGGGCTGGCAGTTCAGCAGAGGTGGTACATTAGCAAATGGAAGCAATGATGAGAAAAGGACAAGAAAAAACCCAGAATGTGGCTGGAGCAGGGGCCATATGGAGGTAGGTAGGGCAGCACTTTTCCAGGACAAACATCCTTGTTCTGGCTCCTGGAAATAGCACAGCACAAGCGCAGGAATGAGGTAGAGATGTGGGCATGGACAGCAGCAGGGGATCAAGACCACTCAAGACCCTCAAAGCTTTCTAACCCAATGCCAGGAATGTCTGGAATAACTGACTGTGCATGATAACTAATTTAGAAAAATAGTTAGAAAATGAGAAACTTATCTCCAGGATGGGAAAACCTATTTACAAACAGGTACCCCCCTGGGTAAAGCCTGGGCATGTGTGCATCCCACAGCCCAGGACACCCCAGCTGGAACAACTGGAGCCAGGACTGGTGATCCCTCTTCCTCACCCTTCTTTTGCTTGTTTGCTTGCTTTCATTCATCCCTCTCTTTATCTGCTCCACCCCACTCCTTTATCCAAAACCCACTGCTGTGTGCTTACACAGGGAGAGCAGGGACTAACTCATAAAAATTCCCATGCCAAGTGTGTAATTTACTAATGAAACTCTGCAAACATTTGCAGACCCCCTGACTTCTGTTGTTCTTTCAACCCAAGATTTCCACCCTGGTTGCTCATTTCCCTTTAATGTTAGGATGCCACAGAGCTTCCTAAAAATCCGTCATGACTCCCCTCCTCAAGCCAAACTCCACGGCTCAAGCTTGCAGAGAGGGCCCCCTCCAGCTGTGTGAAATCTTGAGAGGCACTTAATGAATTAGATATTATTAATATTCCCTTCCAGCATCAGAAGGCAGTAATTAACTCTTTGAATACGTATCCCAAACCCTGCTTTATTACTCAATCCTCAGAGGCAGCTATGTAATCTCATTGTGATTTTAAAGAATATCTTTTCAGAGTAATTATTTAACTTGATTGAAAAAAAAGAAGAAAAAAAGAAGTTCAAAGTGCTGGTACTGCCTTGGAGTGTGCATTAGTGATGTCAGACATGCTGTAAAGATATCAGAGCACTAAACATGATATGCTGCAATACTTTTGCTGAGCAGATGCCTTAAGGAGGTCATTCAACATGCCAGGCTCTAAATGCTATTTGGGAGTGAGAAAACATTATTTTCCCACTTCAACAAGACTTTAGCTTCCCTGTCATGTGGAAATAACCTTTTGTGCTCAGTGCTGTTATTAATTTATTAGCCTTTTGAACGTTTAAATGTTTTGCAGTCTGTGGATTGCATCAAAGTGCTGGCTGAGGGACAGGGCAGCACAAACACATGCTGTGTGCACCCAAATCCATGGATATGTGTTTCAAAGAGCAGACCTGGTGCAAGAACACTTCTGCCTATGTATTTTTGTCAGTGAGAACAGCCATTTTCTCAGGCACAAACCCCCAAGGAGTTTATTTAAGTTATAATTAAATGTCAAACCTTATGAGTGATGACTATGTAGAAAAAGTGCTAAGTATATATTTCTATAGAAATCAATTAAAGGAGACAATGATTTTCTTTCCATTTAGGCTCCATGACTCCAGCGCAAGCTGCTGCAGCACAGTGCAGCTGTCAGCCCTGCCTCAGTGCCTGAACAATTGCTTTCTGTTCACCTGATGGACCTGTCCTGGATGGCACCGATTTTCCTCAGGGGTGAACTCACTGCCAAATGCTTCTGTGATTCCCAACAGGGAACCACGTATCCTTCCAGCAGATAGGAGGTTTGAAACAATCCCCTGAATATCTTTATGTAACAGGACTTGGGTTGTGTCCCTGCTGTTGAATGTAGCATGATCTATTTTGTGCCCAGGAACAAAACACAGAATTTCTGCAAATTTCTGCAAGCAGGCTCTGGCTGAGCACATCTGACTGCAATGCCAGGCTGCTTCCCAAACAGTTATTGGCTGGAGCTGCTGGAGAGGGGTGGAGTTCAGCTGATGGACGTGAGGTATTTGAAAGTTAGTGATCATGGACTCTGTGAAATCAAAAGGGGATGGTTTTCCATCCCAAACTGGGAACCCAAACTGGTTCCTCCTAGAGGAACCATCTTTCATGAGCTATGGAGGTGATTGGTGACTCCCCTGGACATCATCACCCAATTTTTAATGAAATGAACTCTACTCTCCATATTCCACATTGACATAACCCTTCTCTGACTCTTCATCCACTCTCACATACTGCCCACACATTCCCCCAAATAGCATTTCCTCTCGTTCTGCAAAATCCAACATTTCTTTAGGAATGCTGTTCCTTACTGGGAGTCCCCATGTCAAAGTCCATGTACCTGACACTGAGCTAAACAACAGCTATACTGGCAACTGGAATTCCATTAGTTTCTCCTGGGTGATTCCCCATGCCAGGGCCCTGTAGGGAAACCAATTTTTCTTAAAAAAAATGAGGAACAAATTCTGAGAAGAAAGAGAGAAAATGAGAAGAAATTCTGTGACAACTCAGGCAGGAGGCTACTCCTCATACACAGCCCTGGACTGCAGAGCTGAACTCCAGCACAGTGCCCTGTCAGGAACAGACATGTCCATGTTTTTCTCAGGAAGCCAGCTGGAGTGACAGGTTCACAGTTTTAAGAAGGAAAGAATACATTTTGGTACAATAAAGTGGCATTATCTTGTCCCATGAAATCACCATCAGCAGTGCCTGAGCAGAGCTGTCATTGCAGGGCTGTAGCTGGTGAGATGGCAAGGGGGGGAATGCTGAAGTCAAGGCTTGGAGCACTTCTCATCAACAGAGAAGTGATAAGCTAGAAATCAGGAACCAGCTTCCAAGCCCCCAAGCCCTCCTTCAGGTCTGAAGTGGAGCTAACAACCTCGAGTCAGAGGTAAGCTGACAAGCTGGAACCAAATCTGATTATAACTCAGCTCCTTCAGGCTCCAGCACAGACAGAGGGGCACTGTAATCCCATTGCATCTGCTTCTTGCCATGGGTATTTTGTGCCACACTTGGGGTATTAATGAGCACAAGTGATGCACAGAAATTGAAACCTCCTCTGAAAGCAGCTACAGTGGCTAGAGAGAAACTAGACCTAAGAAAGTAAAATTGTAGTTGTGTTGAAGTCCTCTTACTGCAGAGAATGAAATGGTCTTGTGAAATACTGAGGTAGCCTTCGTAAATTTTCAGGTGAGATGCCCAAGGTACAGCTGCAGAAAAACATGTTTCAGCAGCTAGAGGATCACAGCTAATGCTCAGCAATCTATAAATCATTGTTATGAGATTTCTCTATGCAAATGAAATTTATATAACCCTCATCAATCATAAAAAAAAAATCATAAAGATGAAATTTTGCAGCCGCAATGTGAATTAAAGGATCCCTTAACCTGTGTTCAAGATACGTCTTTATAGCTAATTAATTTTCAGATGGAGTGTTCTTTGAAAGGACTAATGGATAGTGAGCATTGCTGATTGATTATAAAATGAGCAGGAGGGTTTAAGAAGTGAGCTGTGAATGTAAAATCACTACCCAGCTTTATTAACTTTGCCATATTAAAATTCTAGACTATGCAACTGCGAGAAGCAGGTATTAATACAGTACCTTTGATGAGTGTATTTTATTTATTTAGCATCAACAAATTTCTCTTAGTTGGTCTCTAACATGGACATCTATTAGATTGTCCTCTGAACTGTATCTTAGAGACTTCAACTTTGAGAAATCCAGAATCTGGATTCTATAAAATATAACTTTATACATTTATGTGATGGGGTGGAAAAAAAGCCAAAAAAATGAAAGCCAGCAACTATGAAGAAAAGGAAAAGAAATGCAATCCATATGTCATCCTGCTGGGGCTGCTCTCCAGAGCTGCAAATCTACAGGTAACTTTTATTGAGCCATCATTACCAACAGTGACAAGAGCATTTATCGAAAGGCCACTCAATCTGCCCTGACCTGAAAACATCAGGAGGAAATGGGGGGCTGTTAAACACTGCAAGCACCTGGTGAGAGGAAGGGGAAAATAAGGAGCTTACCCTCTTCCTCAGATTGCAGGTGAGCGTGAGGTTCCTGGAGAAGGAGTTGGCAAAAGCAGTGTAAAAGTCCAGCACTTTCAGCAAGGCTTCTCGCTTGATTATATGCAAATCGCAGTAGGTCAGAGCCCGAACGTTGGCACAGGCATGGGCCAGGCTGGTTTCCTTCCAGAAGATATCACCAAACACATCACCTTTACCTGAAAAACAGCAGGGCAGATTTGTTAAAAGGTAATGCTTAGGCAGAGTTTCTCAGCACACAGATGATTTTTTCACAATCTGTCTTATGCTCCCAATTATCCCAACGCAAGCTCCAAGCCATGAAAACTAACAATGGTAGAAGTTTTAAAATTAGCTGAGGTACTTGAGCATCCTTAGCAGTAGCCCCAGGTTTTAAAGGTATTAATAGATTGCTCTGTGAAGTGTCACAAAGCGTAAGAGCCAGATTGTAAAGGTCTCCTTGTAGCTGAGGATTCAAGTAATGGATTTTTCAAAGGCTACCAAATATAATGAGCACTTAACTAATGTTCAGGTGATTGAATACTTCAGGTGTCTGTTCCCAAGTGATTTAGGAGTCCTGGTCTTACAAAAACCTTCTGACATCTAGGTTCTTTCATCCTCATGGCTCTACAGTGAGGGGCAGGAGCCAGCTTCCAGGGCCCATGGACCACATTTTAGAGGACATTTTAACATTTTTAATTCAGTGTCATTGGTAACACTCCTTCTGGAAAACCAACGAAAAGCCTCACTGAGACTTTTAACATTTAAATAACACCGCTAAATCTTAAACACATCCAAAAGTACAGTTCTAACCCCAATTCATCCATTTAAGTAGAGGCTTAGGCTTAAGTCTGTATTTCAATGTTTGCTGAGTAAGAGTGTTTGACACCTGAGACACCTACATGTATAAATGCCTCAACCACAGGGGAAAATTACACCTAAGGCTACTTCTGCAGTGTAGCAGGACAGATGATTGAGGACTTGGGACTAGCTATATTCCATGGACAGAAGAGTTCCAGTGACTGAGAATTCTTTGACTTAGCCCAGTTTTCTTTCCTCTGCAAGGAATCCACATCCCCACACCTGTGCTAGACACCCAAGCAGGAGAAGAGGATGAGGACACCAGATTCAAAATCACACTTCTGACCCAAGCAGAAGCCCAGCATTGGTGCAGGTTGGAGACATGCTATCTGGTTGTTCTGAGAAGAGGCTACAGAAAATACATTCCAAAGCTGCCTCTTGCCGCCTGGGCTTGGCCAGGACCCTGGTGTGTGGTTTGTGGCTGACACCTCAAATCCTGAAGCAGAAACCATGGTAGAAAGGGTGTTTTTTGTTTCAGACCCCCAGAGATATCCCAGCTCTGTGCTTTAGCTGTTATTTAAAGGGAACTCAGATCAGTCAGCCAGTGGCTATTGATTTCAGGCACCTCAAGCATCCCCTTGGTGAAGGTTAGAGATGTTACAGTTTTGGCATAAAAAAGGTAATGGATTTTAGTATTTACTCTTTTAAGAACTTTTAACATTTTGCTCCACTCTATTGTGGAAACACAGACCAAAGGGGTAATCTATCCAACCTTATTACTTTTAGGGGTCAGAGGCTCTATTTCTCTATTTCCATTTCTGCTTTTGGTATTGTACCCAGTAAAACATATCTAACATCTCTCAGGCAGAGTGAAATAAAATGTGCAAGTCTTTATCTTCCCTTCTCTGTTTTTATTTTCCAAAAAATGTCTCTATAACAGAATCATCCCTTAGAAAGGTTATAACTGCATCTCATTGAGCTGCTTTTGATTCTACATATTTTTATGTAATTAAATTTAACTACAATACATAACACAGCTGGTATAATTTATAAAACAAGGTGCTTTAAAATGTTTTCCTTAATACAGAGCATTTTATAGTAACATAATTTATCCAATGTACTGCTTTGAAATTACCTTTTGCAGTTAATTGTCCTTGTCTCTACTTAGAGTTCAAAACCCAGTTTACAGACATGCTCAGCAGAGTTACATAATTTATAGAAAACAGCCATCTCTGAAATGCAGAAAATTGCTTAATGGATTTGCTCTCTGAGGTGGACACAGGACAGAGCTGAGTCCTACTTTCAGTGCAGAGTGCAGTTAAAAGACAGTGGTTTTACCACTGAAATGTGAGCAAACCACTTGTCTCTTTTCAAATTTAGGCTAATGTGTAGTTAATTTAACCAAGAGGTTGAAAGCAGTGGATGCTCACCCCAAAACTTAGGACAACAGTGTGTTACAAAATCTGTATATAGACCATGGATAAATGAAATAATATTCATAAGCTTGAGAAGATCTTGGTGCCCTTCAGTGTGGCAGGAATGTGGGACTGCACTGGTTGGGACTTAAAGGTTGGGACACAATGAACTGAATTTATTCACCCTTCCATGAGCCATCACTCACTGGATTTGAAGGGTGAAACTCTAAACTCCTCTTACATCGTGGTTTATACTCCTCAGATAGTACAAAATCTTGGAAGCCTTTAAGGGATCTTGAATTTGACATTTCCCACAAACACTTCTGAGCTTGTCTGCTGGTTATAAATGTGCTAAGGAATGTACAGAATGAAAACAAAACCTCCCAGATTCTCCAAAACAACGCCTCTTCTTTCATAAATACAGAGATTAATGCACTATACTTTATCCCTATTAACTGCAGTTCACTGTGCAGAGAGGTAATTTCTCACTCAGGACAAGATCAGAAGTTAGGAAAGGATTAGGAAAGGATTTACTCAGTGGGTGGTGAGGCATTGAACAGGATGCTCAGAGAAGCTCTGGGTGCCCCATCCCTGAAATGCTCAGGGCCAGGCTGGAAGGGAGCTTTGAGCAACTTGGTCTAGTGGAAGGTGTATCAACCCATTCCATGATTCTGAGGGTAATTTTACACATTGCAACTAAATAAAAACAAAAATGTCATGGTTGCAAAACTGCAAACTTAACTGGTTAGGTCTGACACAGCCACCCAGAGACACAGACAAGAATTTTTCACTTGCAGGGAATGTTCAGAGCTCCAGGGGAAGTGCTGCTGGGGCTGAGCTGGGAATGCAGAGGTGGATATTTATGCAGCCTGCATAATTTCCAAAGATTTTCTAGAGATTTATTGAGGCCTTAGGACATTCCCTCCTGAATCTGCCCTGTCCTGAGTCCTGAGCACCTCCTGAATGGAGGCAAACCCCTCCCAAACCCCCTTCCCTCTGGGAAACCCTCCTGCCCCTTCTCACAGTGCCCAAAGCATCACTGGAAGAAGGAATGCTCTAAACTAGAGTGCAAGGGAAATACTTGCATACATTTTACACATCACAGAATCATAAAATCCTTTGGGTTGGAAAAGACCTCTAAGATATGAAGTCCAACCCTTAACCCAGCAATGCCAAATCCACACTAAAACATGCCCCTAAATGCCACATCTACAGAATCATTGAATCATTGGGCTGGAAAAGACCACTAAAATCATAAAAATTCAGATTTTTGCAACAAGAGGACATGTGAAGGGTGTTGGTGGGCAGGCATAATTTTTGCTGAAATACCAACATTGTTATCATTCTAAATACTATGTATGTGTGCCTGTACATAAAATATACATATATATTCATGCATATTCACATAAATATATTCAGGGACAATCAGATGGTATGCAGCTGTCAGGATATTTCTATGCACTGCTCTATCTTCTATATTCTGATGACCTTGCCAAACAGATTTGGGGGGACAGATGTTCTCTGCAGCCTTACACCAGGGACGGACCTGCCAATTTGCCAGACAGGAGTTTATGCCTGGACCTTTCAGGTAGAAAAAATTTTAAAGGCTTTATGGAACCCTCCAGAGCTTGCAGATGGAATGAAACACTCAGAAACACTCTGTTTAAACAACATCTCAGAATCCACATGTGTATTTATGCAGAGACAAAATTTATCCTCCTTCAGATGGGGACAGAAACTGAGCTAATAAATATCCTAGCAGAAATGGAGCTAGGATATTTATTGAGCTTGATGGATCCTTTGGAAGAAAGTTTAGGCAGGCAGTTAAAGAATTAATCCTTGATGGGAAAGAGCACTGGGTAAAAACACATAAAGGGAACCAAGTCTTCTTAAGGAGGTGGTTTTTGTGCACTCTTAGCTAATAAACCAGCTACCCTTTAACCATTTGAAAATATCTCCAAAGCCTCATCAGTCATGCTAGCACGAGCCAGACATGATGAATGATGTTGGCTCTCCATCAGGATGCACTCAAATCTTACACTGCTCATGAAAAGCAGAGGCTGATGTTGTTTGAAGATCAGTAAAACTGAACCACAGAGAGAAAATGTTCATCCAATCAGCTCAAGGGCCAAATACCATCAAGTGATGGCAGCATGCACACAAGTGGAGGTCATAATTACATCTATTGGTGTCTGCATTCATACAAATTCATATTTCTGTGTATCTGCAGTGAAACCTCCTGCTGCAGGACCAAACTGATGTAGAAACCAAATGAGCAGGGAGTGAATCAGCTCCTGTCACCCACAGCAGCTCTGAGATGGGTCAGTGAGCAGTTCTGCATCTCCTCACCATGGCACACTGGGACTGGTAGCACAGGTTAACAAAATGATGCAATATATTCATGGGATAAAATCCATCTGTGGCTACTAAACACAAAAGATCTCCCTCTGGCTGAAATACAGTCCAGTGGAGGGTTGGAAATATTCTGGGGAAGCATCACAGTTTCCTTACTTCACCTTCCTACTTTCTCCTGCACTTCTGCTGTTGACCACTTTTGGAGACAGGCTGCAGGGCTGGCTGGATTTTTGGGTGTCCTGGTTGGAGACAAATTTGGGAGGAAACAAATCTAGGAAAAATAGGGGATACCAGACCGTAAAGTCACTCCAAGACATTTGGCTTAGCTGAAATGGTGGTTTCTGCCTAAAGAGGGTGTCTGGAGAAGGTGATGCAGTGGTGCAAATCCATCAGGTGCACTTCCCATCTGGGACAGCACAGCTAAAGATGTGCAGGGATGATTCTAAACTGTGAAGAGAGGTCTTCTTGCCCCTGGGAATGTTCTAGCCTCAACTTTTTCTGGGGCATCCAGAAGGGCCAGAACTTCCTCGAAAATCAGACCAGAGCTGATCACTGAGCTGCACATAAACCCACCTCTATGGGGCTGCACATGAAAGGGCAGAATGACAGGAGAAAACAGCATTTCAGCC